CGTTAAAACTGAATTTTCCATACAGAATTGAATACGAGTGCACTCCAGATTTAGCTGCAGCTAGCTGACCGTGTGCTCCCTATACCGCAGTTCTGTGCCATGCATGCAGCAAACTGAAAGCACTGTCTGTCTGAGCGTCTACGTGAAAAGAGAAGGAAGACATGGCTGGTAGTAGTGTCTTCAGAGTTGTTAAACACCTCAGCGCACTGAAGGAAGCCATCTGACTGTATGAGGGCAAGATCGTTGATGTCTGCAGGCAGAGTAGGCCTAGAGCTCTCCTGTCTGACTGGTCCACCAATAGCAGAGAAGATGACCCCTTGAGACACAGCCCTCCTCTTGCATAATGAGGCAGAAATGCATACAGAAATTAAAAAGGACAGGCAGAAATAAATACCATGGATGAAAATAAATAAGGTAAATAAATACAAAGGAAGAATAAAACAGACAAAAATATTAAAAACACACATAAATAAATACATTAAAAAAATTATTAATAAATAAAGTTGAAGATTATAACGGAGAATAAATAAATAAGGTAATTATAACAAAGGTGAATAAGTAAAGGCACTAATTAAAATATATACATTTATGGGGGCTGCTTCGTTAAAGGTCACTTCCTTTTGCCAGCAGGTGGCGCTATGACTGTGGGTGAATGGGCATACATGTGTTCAGGGCGGGACTGTCATCCTACATGTACACTTTGGTCCAGATGTGAGCATATACATGAACTTACAAAACTTCCTGTTTCATGGCGAATCATTGACACCACAGACAGCCCATTGACGAAAACTCGCAAATAGCACAACTTTTCATCGTCAATGCCTTTAGAAGGCACAGCAGAAATTTGACGTCGATCCGACTAAATCCCTAGGAGTTCATTAAAGTACGGAGTGTGTAAATCATCCAAAAATGGCCATAAATTCAAAATGGCCGACTTCCTGTTGACTTTAGGGTATGGGTTCTTGAGGCTTTTTTGTGCGTCTTGATATGATACATGTCCCCAGAAAATTTCGTATATGTAGGTTGAACGTGAACGAGGGGAAATCCTTTCCAATTTTCTAGGTGGCGCTAGCGAGTCATTTTGCCACGCCCATGCGTGAAACCCATAAAATACGAAATTTTCACCAGTTCTGACATGTTTGCAAAGTTTGGTGAGTTTCGAGTATGTTTAGGCCCTGTCAATGGAGCCTACTTTGCAGGAAAAAAAATATATATATAATCTTAGCAAATTCAATAGGGACCTCACACGGTCGTGCTCAGGCCCTAAATACCTTTTGTAAACATATGAAAATCATCTAAGTGTGCATGTGTCATGTAAGTATCATTATCAAGATTTTATATATAGGTAATGCAATGACCCCATGCACAGTTACATGAAAGCAAATAAGTATTTAGAAGACAGTGATAGTAACTGCAATGAGCCCAAAAACTGACATAAATACAGAGGAGTGTGTTGCGTTTCCTCTGTTCAGACACTTTTACAACTAATTTGATGCTGCTGGATTAAAATCATGAAGATAAGGTGTTATGTGCAGTGGACGAATAGACTGCCGACAACGCATACAGCAGCAGAACAACGTGTAGCATTTTTACAAGAGCAGCTAACACTGAGAGCTTCAGTTTATGCGCTGTTAGCAAGTCAGACAGACAAACCAAAGCTTAAAGTTAACTCACCCTGCGCTCACTGTAAGGTCATTTTCTTCAATCAAGTTTCCCTCAGCGCTCTCATATAAACTAAAATACGACCAGACTTCAGAGTGACTGAAAAATCTTCGTTGCTCTGTCTTCCGCGGTGTTGTCATTGACCCAAACAAACCCACGTTGCATACTGCACTTGCGTGCATGCTTCGCTAACTTTGGTTAATGCTGGACAATTTTTGCTGTGAGTTTATAATAGCGCGGTAACCAAAACCGGTTATCATGGTAATTAAAAAATGTACGGTAATAATAACAATCGGGAATTTTACCATGGTTTATCATTAAACCGGTAATCATTTCATCCCTAATACCAATTCATCTGCAATTACCTAATTTCAGCCGATAATGTATACACGCCGATTTATTAGCTGGGCTACAGGTAATCCCTGTCTGATTTCACAATACAATACTGTATTGATGTATTGTTACTCATCATAATGTTACATATTTTATTCTTTACTTTTAGTGTTATTTGGCCATGTAGATGGTTATGCTTTATTTGCTCAGGTTTTTACATATCAGTCCCTGGGGTTAACCCTGCCCCCTCAATACATGGAATTTGGAATTTTCTTTGATTGAACAATGACAGTAAAAAAAATTTAACTGAAGCAACATTGCTATTAATCCGATCCGACCTGATAGTGAGCAGTTTTCACTGGAACTACTTTTTCCCCCAAAGAATAAGTAGGAGTAATGGGAAGGGGCGGGGCGGAATTTAATTTATGTATGAGAAGATAACATTAGAGCTTAGTGGAAAAAATGTTTTTAACTCCGCCAGGCCTAAGCTCGAGGGGATCATACATTAGTTGTGTGTGCATCGGTCGACAAAAAATCTTGCATACGACTGGACCCATCAGCCTAACTTTTTTTTGTGCACATTTATGATTATATGCTCAAGTACCCCTCGTGGTTGCAGTGATTCACAATTTAGTATTAGTGATCAACAACCGCTTCAGTTTGGAATGCTGTTTCTGCTTGGGAGAAGTGTGTCGGCGGATTCTTTAGTTGGCATTTTCACTTTGAAATTGACATTTTACATCGCTGGTGTTTTGGAATTGTCCAAGGTTTGTTTATTCTGGTTACAACTTGATAATGGAAGCTGCATATTGTCTGTCCTTCATGCCTGCCCTGCACTTCCTGTTCCCCAACCACATGCCCCCAGGCCAATGTGAATTCATGGGATGGTGTAAAAATAGCACACCACTTTTATGGACATTTCACGCTTTATACTAGGTCACCTTACTTCTCTATGACATTCGCATGTAAAATGACGTGCCGTCTCAGCACATTATAAGTCAGAGCAGGGCTGCATGATTTGGAGAAAAATCATATTGCGATTATTGTGAACAATATTGCTATTTGCAGTTGCGATTCGATTATAATAGAACAATGGTACTATGAGTCTACATGCTTAATTATCAAGGAATGCGCGAAATACTGACATTTTGAAATGTGTATTTCTCAACTTGAACAAAGTTAAACAATACACTATTTATAACAATAGCTAGTAAAACAGATGTAAAACAGAACAAGGGGAGCATGTTGCTCTATGAAGGAGGAGGCGGCTAGAAGCAGCAAATATTGGCACACTGGTCTAATGCAGAGTCTCTATCCACAACCTGGAGGAGGAACTGTACATGAGTCTATTAAATAAATACTATAATGTTTAGTTAATAGCATACTGTTAGTATAACAGTAATATTAAATACTAAATTCATTAAAAATTCATATAATAGTAGGCTATACATTTTTACCACTAGTTGAATATTAGATCCAGTTACAGCTGTTCCATTTCTGTGGGTTGTTTTTACATTTACAAGACTTTACGCTTTTATCCAAAGCGACTTACATTTGAGGAACAACATACAATCATTAACAGAGCATAAATACAGCACAAGATCTACAACTGACAATACATATTAATAAAATCAGCAATAAATATTAGTAAGCGCTAATGGCACATATCGCATCAATGGGGGTAAATACCTAGGGAAAGAAGTTAGAGTTAACAAAAATTGCAATCAATACAAGATAATTGTAGGGGATAGAAGAAGAGCACAGGAAGTGCATGTTAAATGAGTTAGAGGTTATAAGAGGAAGTGTTCTCGGAAGAGATAAGTTTTCAACAGCTTCATGAAGTTAGAGAGGGACGCCCCTGCTCTGATGGCATGTGATAGCTCATTCCAACATCGTGGTGTCACAGATGCGAACAGCCGGGACTGTGAATGCTTTGTGTGAAGGGATGGCAGAGCCAGGCGGCGTTCGTTGGAGGAGCGTAGTGGCCGAGAAGGAACTTAAACTTGTATTATGGAGTTTAGGTAGATGGCTGCAGACCCAGTAGTCATTCTGTATGCAAGAATTAGTGACTTGAATCTGATTCTGAAGGCCACGGTTAGCCAGTGGAGGTCACACAGCAGTGGAGTGACATGCGTCCTTTTGGGCTGATCAAAAACCAGACGCTCTGCTGCATTCTGAACCATTTGTAGGGGTTTCACCACACAAGCTGGAAGACCCACTAGGAGGGCATTGCAATAGTCGAGGCGAGAGGTAACCATGGCCTGTACCAGAAGCTGGGTGGCATATTAGCTGCATTTCGACCAAAGGAACTATACCCCAGAACTAGGAAGCTTTGGAGGATCTCGCCGGACCAGGGTCTAAATGTAGTTCTAGGGTCTTCATTTTACCGCCCAAAAAATCCCAGCTCGGGGGGTAGTACTTTCCGAAAGTACCGGTACTGTGAGGGGGTGGGGCTTGCCTTGCAGTGAAAGTGTGAATGGGCAAGTAGAGGCTACTGGCTAACTGGAGAATGTCGGCTGTTTTTCTACGACTGCTCGTCTCTTTTCCACCTTTGCTTGCAAACCAATAAATCAAAATCAACAGTCAAGCCACACAAGTCTCGCCGATGTCGGCCTGAGATCATATGTTGGCATTAACTATATTGGAAACGGCAGCCAGCGTGCAGCGGTGTGTTTATGCTAAATACTGGGTCCTAAGTTGTTGTTTTAAGTTTTCATCAGTCAGGAGGTTTTACACAGAGCCGAAGTCGGTGTCCTCTCCAAAACAAGCGGAACAGCTGATTACAGCAGGTAATTAAGCTCGTTAAACATCAAGTTCCTCCGACACTCAGCTCTTGTCGCTGGAAATGTTTTAATAACCTTCCAAACTGTCGCGATTTTATTTGTGTGTTGCTTTCTCTGTGCTGGAGTTATTTTAAGAACTTTATGGCTTTAGTTTGTTTGGCTACTATTAAATGTGTAACGAACTTTATCATGTGTCTCTTCATTATAGCTCCCACACAAAAAAGCTGCTTTAAGGGTCCAGCACAGCCTGTAGTTTTTCATTATATTCCAGTCAAATCTGATGTTCTTTTATAAATGTTGCTCATGGATAGTGGTTACAAATAATGATGCCTGTGCATCGCTTTGTATGACGTACAGGCATACAGCCTACGTCAGCTAGTTAATTTGCCTAATCTTCGCAGGTCTTTAGACCACGGTGGAAATGCACACAACAGTGGGCTGAAGGAATCTTTTAGTTCCTTGAAAAGAGATCTGGGGACTTAAAAGCTGCTATGAGTGAGGTAGGGCCTGATTTTTCTGATGTTGTATAGAGCAAAGCGGCACAACCAAGAGACAGCAGCAACACGGTCTGAAAAGGACAGCTGGTCATCAATCATGACACCCAAGTTTCTCACCACTCTGGTTGGAGTGATGGTTGAGGAGCCAGTTTGTAGTTTGATGTTATGGTGGATAGATTGCTTGGCTGGAATGACCAAGAGTTCACTCTTAGAGAGGTTTAGTTGAAGGTGGCAAGCCTTCATCCATGCAGATTTGTCAGAGAGACAGTCTGTGATTCGCGCCGAGACGGTGGGGACGTCTGGCAGGAAGGATAGGTAGAATTGCGTATCATCAGCGTAGCAGTGGTAAGAGACGTGTGAGCGAATGATCAGCTCCAGTGAGGTGGTGTAAATTCAGAAGAGAAGGGGCCCTAGTACTGAGCCTTGAGGCAGTGGGAGGAGGATAATTGTCCTTGCCACAAAACATTGTAGGAACGCCCCGAGAGGTAAGATTCGAACCACAGTAGTGCTTTACCCGAGATGCCCATTGCTGAGTGCGCGGATAGGAGGATCATGTGATTGACTGTGTCAAAGGCAGCTGATAGGTCAAGCAGGATAAGAACCGAGGATTGGGCTGCAGCTTTAGCTGACCTTGGGGCTTCTGTTACAGACAAAAGAGCCGTTTCGGTTGGGGCTGGGCCCGAATATACGAATATTCGACCGTCGGTACACATTCGATTTTCAATTATGAGATTCGATTATTGGGGGGTTTTTTTCACGCACCTGACCTCCGCCGACAGCAGTGAACGCGACGCTCCAGTTCATATCAAAGGACAAACTAAATTAAGCCCTCAGCTGTGTGGGAGCACTTTAAACTGACTGATGACTGCAGTAGTGTGGAAGTTATGGCGTTAATTAATTTTACAATTGCTTAATTTCATTACAGATCAAAACAGTCAAATTTCCTTTTTCCTTATTTAAATAAGCCTAATTATATTAGGCCGATTGTAGAAGAAGAGCATTTTGTCGCTATAATTAAAATTAAAAGTGAATTTTGCATAATAATGTGTTAGATTTAGTTCCACTACCAACCATCATCCCGTGCGCTCTCCGCCTGGACCCCCGCCCGGGAAACTATTCCCAGATTCTGCTCCGATTATTCGCTCTTAATTACTGTTGAAGCTCAAAAAATGACATTCGGACCAGCTCTAGATCAAGTAGAGTGGGCACTCTTAAAACCAGACTGATATGGATCTAGGAGGTCATTCCGTGAGAGGAGTTCTGAGACCTGTTTAAAGACTGACCGTTTGATAGTTTTTGATAAAAATGGTAGAAGAGAAACTGGCTGATAGTTCTCAACTTGAGGTGGGTCAAGTGAGGGCTATTTAAGCAAGGGTGTAACCCGAGCCCTTTTGAAAGTGGTCGGGAAGGTTCCTGAAGCCAGAGAAGTATTTATCACATGAGTGATTGCCAGGACCACAGTAGGAGATATGGCTTGGAGGAGATTCGTAGGAATCGGGTCCAGTGGGCATGTAGTGGGAGGAGTAAACAAGGAGAGTGAAGTGCCATTGTCCTGGGATGGCAGAGGAACAGATGTAGTAGGACTGCTACATGTTAACCTTGGTGTTGAGCCTTTTGCGCCATTTCCCAAGGGAGATGGAGGGAGACATGTATAAGGACGGTTACATGGTAGGTTTTCCTGTGCTGTGCTCACACAGTGGGAGCTGACCAGGGCGGGAGTAGAAGGTTGATTTTGAGAGATTTAGAGAATTGGCTAGTTATAGTCGCCACTTTGCCTGTGAATAAGGCAGCAAAGGTATCAGCAGACAAGTTTGTGGGTGGTGGAGGAGGATTTAGTAGCATTTTAAAAGTAAATATATTAGATATTTATTATAAGAAAATAATTTCCTTGAGTCAGTAGCACTGCTAATTCTGTCATTATAGAACGCAGTTTTGGCAGCATTGATGCTTGTTGAGAAGGAGGATAGGAGCAGTTGGTAGTCCTTAAGGTTGGCAGGGTCTTTGTTTTTTTGCCATTTTCTTCCAGCGGCTCTGAGATCAGTACGGAGCCCACGGATGGTATCAGTTAGCCATGGGTGGGACTGGTTCGGGCGGGCAGGCTTGGTGGACAGAGGACACAGGCTATCCAGGCACGAGCTCAATGTAGAGCAAAGAGATTGTGCGGCATCGTTGACCTCGAGTGAGGAAAATGTGTTGAGGGGAGGTAGAACGGATGCTACCACTGAGGCAAAGTGAGTGGGAGACAGGTTACGGAGGTTGCGGCGGTGTGAGACCAGCGTTGCTGGAACAATGGGCTGTTCCTGTAGGCATACCGTGAACTGAATGAAAAAGTGGACAGACGTGTAGAGGAGTGACAGTTAAGCACTCGGTGGGACAGTTTCAGACAAGAACAAGGTCAAGCACCTTGCCAGCTTTGTGGGTCAGGGGGCTGAGAAACCGTGTTAGATCAAAGGACTGAATCAGAGACAGAAAGTCTGTTGAGTTTGATTTGTCCAAGTGAATGTTCATGTCACCGAGGACAAGTAATGGGCAGTCATGATCTGGGATTGAAGACAGCAGTGTGTCTAGCTCGTCCACAAAGTTACCCACTTGTCCCGGTGGACGGTAGATGACAATCACAGAGACCTTTACCGGAGTGGACACCAAGACAGCATGATATTTCGAAGGAGGCATAGTGTAGTGGTATTTTCTGGTTTGATCCAGGTCTCAGTGAGTGCCAGTAGCCCAAAAGATAATGCGTTAGCATAAGTAATGATAAAGTCAGCTTTGTTGACTGCAGACTGGCAGTTCCATGACCCGACAGAAGTAAACAGATGTGGGCGGTGTCTGTTTTAAAGGCTTGAGGAGTGCCTTATTTCTGTGCCTAATGGCACAATACCTCTTGAGTGCACTGGAAACAAGAGGAATAGTATGGTAGCACATGGCCTGAGTGTAGTTGTAGCCAGCAGCTTTAGGTGAGTAGGTGTGCTTCAGAAAAGGCAAGAAGCTACTCTTGTAGGTGGCCTTGCTTGGTAGCCTTGCACAGGAAGACTTGCTGGTCTTTACCCAAGTAGGTCTTCACAGAAGGAGCTGACGGTGACGCTTCAGTTATAGGTTTCAGTGAAGTAGTGTGAGTCTAATTGCATACAGGTGCATTCAGACTGATTACACCCAGCTGAGATCGCCCTCCGGATTAACAAGACAAAAGGTTGGTTTCAGTGGGTGGGACACACACCCAGTTGTTTGAGCTCGCTCAGTCGGCCTTCAGATTCTAGTAGAATGTTCAGTAAAGTGCAAAGTGATAGCACATCAAGAGTAAGAAAATAGAGTAAATTATTACCTCACTACTGCAAACTCTTACTTGCCCAATGGTGCTTTCCTGTGTTTTTATTCATTAAATCCTTATTCAAGCTTTACATTGGTCTCTAATTTGTTAATACAGTGAATTTCCCAGGAGTCTTGAGTTCTGTGACCTTATTTATATGCAGAAAAAAGCCAACTAAACCCTTTTGAGTTCACTGAAAGGCTAAAATTACAGAATGAGCAGTCTTATGAAGCGAAAAGGTACAGATAACTTCTTGATGTAACCTCCCACCCTCTTTGCTTTTCTCTGCCTGTTTACGTTCTCACTGTCAATCGCACTTCAGACTGAGAGATGTAATATGGTGTGTTCAGGCTCATAACTGAGGAAGGAAGTTCAAGTGAAGAAAAATGTTTCACTGCTGAGAATGTATGACCTTCTCTGCTAATGTGCTGCTGGGAGAAGGTCGAGGTCGTGTATTATAAACATTCTGGACTTAGATCAGCATTGAACAAATGGAAGGGTTTTTGATGTTTAAAAGGTTTGATGCTCTATTTTGTGAAAATGAAGTGGTATACTACTTTCTGTTCAGCATTTGAGAAAGGTATTTGTAGCTTTGGTGAGTGATGGTAATACCTGATGACTTACATACAATGAGAGGGTGAAATGTGCGTGTATGACACAACTTTTTCCTTGGTTGGCTGCAACTATAGTCAAACGGGGACATTGCAGCTAACAGTGCAGCGTGAAGTTGGGTACATGACTCATTCTGCTGTGATTCACATCACATAACCACATAAATAATGTAGTCTAGATTTCAGATTGAATACTCACATTGGTGAAGAAATATTTTTCACAAATGCAATTAATAAGAAAATAACTACTCTAACAGTTCAAACTTTGTTACATATCTATGTCCCGTCTGTGATTAAATGGGGAACCTGGAGCTATAATTCTTAATTAGTTCTTTTTTGCTGTCATGCCACAGCTTTTTACGCAAGTGCCCTTTTCTTGTGTGTCTGCCCATCTTTGTCCATGCAGTAGTGTTGCCTAAGAGCCTTGGGGCATTGACAGATGGGAGTGTAGAGAGCCCAGCCATGCACCCCACCCCCACCGTGGGCAGACCTCCAGGTCAGAGAGGACGCAAGCCAGGCCGCAGGAAAACCAAGGTGACGGGGCCCTGGAGTCAGAAGGGCTCAGCGTTGGGACCACAGAGCATCCAGCTAGCCAAAGGCCTGGAGCCCATCAAGATCCCCAAGAAACGAGGGCCCAAGCCTGGCAGTAAGGTGGGCATGAAGTGGTTTAGAGATGGCCATGCAGATAGTTGTGGTTATATTTTCCTAGATTTCACAATATCTGTGATTTATGCCTGTTCTACCATACACTGTAGGTGAAACTTAGACTATTTATTTGGTTCTAAAGGGACTAAGTCTGTCCACAGTGTGGTCTGTGCATTATCCAGAAAAATTTCGAAACATGTTGCCAATGAATTTTTCACTGCTGTGAGCACCACAGACAGGGTTCCATTTATCTTCATTGTATTGGGATGGCGGCAGAAATCTCAGAAGCAGATATCTCAAAACCAGGGGACAAAACCAAACTACTGTATCTGCATAGCTAAATACTATTGGTGGTGAAATTAAATTAGTTGAACTGGGACTCACATCTCCAAATTAGGGTTTTCTGTGACACACTGGGCACATGTTTGCACACAGTTGTTTTGCAAGCTTTGGTTGCAACATTTTGACCTTGGAACACATCTTGTTTTTTGATGGAGGAGCATTGTCATTGTAGAGTATCACAGAATGAAGACTCCCACTTGACTCTGTGTCTCATTTTCTCTGTGATTGAAGTTGGGTTGGGCAAAGAGAGCTGGCTGGCTGGAAGATGCCATGGCTGGCCCAGGGCGGCCAGTGACTGGCCCAGGGCGGCCAGTGACAGGTCCAGGGCGGCCAGTGACCGGTCCAGGGCGAACCAGGGGCAGACTGCCTGCCAACTGGGCACAGAGGATAGCTCTGCAGCAGGCCCAGACTCAGGCAGAACCCATCAAGATCCCAAAGAAAAGAGGGCCAAAGCCTGGCAGCAAGGTAGCCGTCCAGTACATACACATTAACACAGATATCACTGAACAACAGAGTATCACATTGTAGCATTTGACTGCATAGTGCTTATTGGGTAGAACACATAATAATACATACGTACATACAATAACAGGCTGTTTTGATGTTAAGATTTATTTCAACTCTGCCACATCCTGTTTCTGTTATTATTACCTTTCTGACCAGTCAGACTGGACTAGACCTCAGGAGAATTTGTTTCAAAATACTAAGCAGATTGAAAACATTTCTGAATAAATGCCCCCCTGTTTGTTGATGTTTTTCAACTTAGGCAGATTGAGCTGGTTTACATTTCAAAGGCACAATCAGTTACAAAAACACAGTGGTTGTCCACAACAACTATTGACAGCATCCAGTTTGTATGCTGGCAAAGCAGGTAACTGCACTCAAGTCCTAATAATGTACTGAAGATAGATTAATGGAAATACTTGGCAGAGTCATGAATGTTCTTTTTGATCGTTTTGTTTTCTGATGTTGTACCATGCTACATTTTGCGGAAGGCACTTTGTTTTATAAGTTCAAGAAAGAAGAATAAAAGTGCAACATAAGAGTCACATTTGATGCTATATTGTGAACTGTTCCCATCAAATGTTGGGGTGTTAATAAACCATTAAAGAAACAAATGCTATAAAATGTCCGAATGTGTGTGTTTGTATCCAGAGAAAACCAAGGGTGGTACCTAATCCAGTTCCCACGTCTCCCACCAGCAGCACCCCAGAGCCTGACACCAGTACTGTTCCTCTAGACAATGCCACCATCCCCAACTCTGCACTCCAGGCTCCCACAGGTACACAATATCCACAGACCTAGACCTACTGTATATTATTATTGATAGGTATACCTTTCTGGGATGTTCAGTGCCGGTGTAAGACTCAATCTGTCATGCTGTCACTCACACAGTATCACAACATTATATGTTGTGTTTGCAACAGGATCTGACAAACAGTGGTTAACACATGCCAACAACGTTTAAAATCAGCCTAGTGGTCCTTTAAATAAATCAAAATTACATTTTGGTGGATGAGAGAAGGCATATAACCTTCAGTATTGACTCTTCTTGTTGTTTTGCCCCCTAGTTTGTGTGTACCTAAACAAATACGGCAAGGTGGGACCCCATTTGGACCTGCGGCGTATTCAGCAGCTCCCTGACCACTTTGGGCCAGGCCGGGCCTCTTCAGTGCTTCAGCAGTGTGTTCAAGCTTGCGTAGACTCAGCCCACAACCAGGGCACAGTCTTTTCCTGTCTCAAGTCTGGACAAGGAGGTGAAGTCATTTCAGGTGGGAATTATGCTTATATTTGTTTACTTATCTTCCATTACATCAGAATGTAGTGCTGGTATCAAATAAAAAAAAAATTCTGTCTATTCTATTGTAATTGTTACATAACATCTGAGGTCTAAAAACCTTTGTATAAAGCTCACCCTCACATTAGTGAACAGGTTTTACTCTTTTACTCCATGTTAAACAAAAGACTGTAAACCTCCTATAGCAGAATTTGATCCTCTGTCATTTGCCCATTTGCCCTATCTAGCCTACTTTGACCAGCAGCAGCACACCCTGACCTTGCCCACAGTCAGCAGTGTCACCTACGTCCTCCGCTTCCTAGAAAAACTCTGCCACAACCTTCACTGCGATCCTCTGTTTGGAAGCCAACCTGTCGCCAGAGGAAGCCTGCACTACGACAGTCACACATACACTGCAGGTTAATGCTACTTTTCTCTACATTGTGTTAGTCTAATTGAATGTAAATTAAATTTTCAGCAGCTATTGAAATTTTTGTCCTCATTAATAGAAACAAATCTGATAGCTAGGGATTTTTTTATTATGCTGGAAACCAACAGTAGACATTACACATTTTCCAGATAGCAGTTTGATTGTATGTATACACATCGAGAATAAAACAAAAGAATAAAACACTGCTACATAATACATTTCATATAGATTGTACTTAATGTCTTAATGAACCAAGCTTTACGGCACCAGTTTTGGTTCTTTTAGTGTGTGTGTTTTCTTTAAGAGATAAAAACTCCACGCAGCAAAAGAAAAACTGTGTGCCTTAGTGGTGTGGAAATGTTGGCAGTTACCCTCTAAAAACACTAATCTTGTAAATAGTCAAGGGAGGCGTCCCCTATGTGTCGGCTATATTTTACACTGCTGTACAAAAGGCAAATAACTTGTTTTAATGTGGGAAACTTTATATTCCATGCCTAGAGTTTAGATTTTTTGGGAACAAAATAAAACAGACAAAGAAACTTTGGTGGCTAGCAGATATACAGCCGTTTAATAGTCTGCTGACAGCAAAGTTCTTTGTTGCAGTGGAGTACAAGAATTTGCAGGAAATATGCTGGTCATCGCCATGTTTATTTCTTGTTGTAAATATAGATTGCCTCCTATTGATCATTAGGGCTGCAACTAACAATTCTTTTTATTGTTTATTATTTTCTTGATTAATTGATTAGTTGTTTAAGTGTCAGGAAATTATCAAAAATGTTGATCACCAAACCATAAGAAGACGTCCTGTTTTGTCCACAACCCAAAGATATTCACTTTACTGTCATAAGAGTAATGAAAACAGGAAATATTTACATTTAAGAAGCTGGAATCCGACAATTTTCCTTCAAACCAATTAATTGATTATCAAAATAGTTGATGATTAATTTAATAACACCTAGTCGATTTATTCGATTAATTGTTGCAGCTCTATTGATCATCCCACAAGTCAAAACCTTCTAGTGTGATGTGTAGAGGGTTAAATTGTTGATGCTGAGCGTGTGTTCTTGCTGATGCTATTTTAGTTTCCTGAAGTCATTATTTAATTAATGATTCATGGTATCACATGACATAAAACAGTTTTTACTGACTCAAGCCAAATTAATTGTATTTAAAACTGTACCCGCTTTGACAGGTTCTGTATTTCCAGTACTCAAACTAGAAAAACATGTCTGTACTTCTCTGTGGTAGTTTTTTTTTTTTTTTCGTTTCTTTCTGCATTCGGCCTCTTTGACCAAAAGAAGTGTTAACAAGTGAAATACAGCCTGGCCCACTTACCTTTATCATCTGTAGCTGTTGTTCATGTGCTGGTTTTAGAGAGGAGAAGTTTTGGAGACAACCTGACGACGGGCCCGGGCCGAGGCAACAAGCGGTTCCTACAAGACTACAACAGTCCCCTGCCTCAGAAACTGGCCAAAACCCCCCGGCACTCTACTGATGGTATATTACTTTTGTGACTCTTGTGATTTTTTTCTTTTTATCTACCCTGGGCTTCAGTTCTGTACCTCCTTATTTATATTTAGATAGAGCAAGTAAAAAATATTTGGTTTGTTGGTTGATGTTAGTAGTAGTCAGACGACCACAAAGTTGGATTTTCTGACCAGTTTGCTGATCCCTAATAGAGCACAGTATTGTCACTTTTTATGATTGGCGTATATTCCACTGGTAGGACAGTAATAAGTTATTTCTCCGGTATATTTGCCATTTTGCTATACCCCTTGCATTGCTGGATAAATGTATATGTGCGATGTACTGCTCCTGGCTAGTTAATTTCTGTTTTGTAAAATTACTTTGGATACTATATTCATTTGTTCTTTATTTATGTGTAGAAACACAAAATGGAAATACACTTAAAGCAAAGGATTTTCTTGATTACACAAGCCTTTCACTTGTGTATAGTATTTGTTTATATTATCAGTAGCTCTCACCTGTAATGCTGCAACACATTTGATGTAAGACATTTAATTTTAATAATTGAATGCTCAGAGTTGTCCAGTAAATCCTTATATAATCATATAAAAGGAGGTTGTAAAACACAAGAAGCTCTTGGTTCAGGAGTGAGTGGTTTTAAGTTCTGGAGCAGGAGGTTAATCATTTAATCATCTTTCAATTTCCTTCTATTTTAATTAAGTTAATGGAATATTTGAAGAGATTTATGTAAACGGGTAATATCCCCCTTAAAAGGTGTCTTCCGCATGTATAAAAGCTCCAAACACAGTCACAGTGGTTTCCCCTTTTGGTATTTTGGTTATGTTTAAGCTATGTGTAATCTATGTGTTTGCATTGTCCCCAGGTGAGTCCTTCATGGAGAACAGTGTTGCCGCATCAGAGCACTTAAAAAAGAGCCCTCTTTCTCCCAACTCTATAATTCAAACTCCCGGCCTGAGGTCTCCCTCCAAGCTGCTACATCATAGAAACTCTACAGGTAGGAAAAGACCATAGACTGTATAAAAGAAGTGGACGTAGTCACTGTGATATCACCCATTGGTTTGTGGACTACCGTTTTGAAGCTTCAAAATTGGTGTTTTGTTTTGGGGTTTTTTTGGAACTAGAAGTGACCGTATGTGAGCAAGAGGGTGGAGCTGGGGAGGAGTGAGGGCTGATGTAGCCATGCATTTGTTCCCTTTCAAACTCAGTTTGCTGGTGAATATACATTTTATCCAGCATATTAAATTATCAGCAACCGCTAACTAGCTAGGTTGGTTGGCACCATGCATCCCTTATTCACGTTAACTGGGATGCTAATTTTGGCTAGCGAAACACAGGCTTAAAACAACATAAACAGCCAACTGCTTAGAGTGTCTTTCAGTACCACCAAAAGTTAAGCAAGACATTTTTTAGCTTTAGTTTGCTGTCAAAAAAAAAACAAGGTAGCCAGGTCCTAAAGCATACCCTGCTTTATCTTCTATTTTACTCTAAACCATACTTTACAAAATTAACATCATGCTTATTGAACACTTGAAACTAGTGATTGAGACCATAAACACATTAGGAGAGTGTTTACAGAGTAAAATCAAGTTAAAAGTAGGATAATTTTGTCATGGATTCCTATGCAATCTGACTTCTTTTTGCAACCAGAGTTGTTGTCCCCTGCTGACCATTGGTAAGAATGCAGGTTTAAATCACTTCGGCATTGGCTTAACTTTTCAGACACAGAAATTCTCGCCATAAAGAGACACTGATACAGGAAACACTAAATAAATAAATAATGAAATACGGTCCAAGAAGTCCAGTTAGAGTACAGATCCATGAAATTGTAGATTTAAAGCTTTCAAACTAGATAGTTGGAATGACTTTAGTGTTTAAACAAGTTTAGTCAGCATACTGTAAAACTTCAATTAATGGCCCGGGCTTTTATTTGCTTCAGTCGCTGAACTTACCCTGCCTGTATTTGGAACATCTATATGGGACAGGCCTTTAATTCCTTTCACACAAAACTCCTACTCAGTAAAGACTGGAAATAGGCTACCATCAAATTGTTTATTTCAACAAGCATGAATATTACTTTTAGAAAAATCTGGCCTTTTTCGTGTCTTGTTTACCATACCAAAAAATCTGAATTGTAAAATTTACTTAACGATTAAATTGTGGAAAATCTAACTAATCAAATCTAGCATGTCCATATTGACAAAAGTTGAAACATCTACATTTGGATGCACGATCTAAACAGCTTTGAACTAGCTCGAGCAGGTGACCCGGCGGGCTTTAAGAGGTTTTATATATCCAAAGGCTTTTAATTGAGACCCGCATTTATTTGTCAAAACGTGTAGCCCACCAGGCCATTAAAAAGGGCAGGCGTCTAATTGGGACTAGGCTTTGAAGTTTTACGGTATACAGTCCACATGGTTATTAATTTAACTCCTCCCAGCCCCTTGCAGACCTAGGAAGATACGGAACATTTACATCACGCGGACCCTCACGGCCATTTGGATACAAGAAATATAATTTGAGCTTTAGATGTTTTTTCAGAAACAATACAGCAGGGTTTACAACTCTGTTAAATCAGCTGAGGACACATTGACTGGAGGCTAAAGTGTATTATAGTGCTCGGTCAGTTAGTGGATAATTGTGAAAAACTACCATAACAGTAGAGCCCATTTTCTGAATGAATGACTGTCTTTATGGATTTGAGTGTGTTGCTTTTGCACTCTCAGGCTCAGGCAGTTTCCGAGAGAGCCCGAGACCTAGTGGTCAGGACCCTAACCTGTGGACAGTAGAGGATGTCATGCAGTATATCAGAGAGATCGACCCAGTGCTGGCCCCACATGCTGACCTCTTCAGGAAACATGTATGTATTCTCTCATAATGTGAAGAGGCTAAAAATGATTGTGTTTCAACCTACATATGGAATCTGGTATAATTGTTTAATCATACACCTGACAGTATACCTTAAAAAATCCCTGACTTTGTGCATGTATCTAGAGGAACCGATGCTGTTTTGAAGGCAAAGGGTGGTCACACCAAATATTGATTTGATTTAGGTTTTTCTTCTGTTTAGTCACTTTGCGTTTTGTTAACTGTCTATTTTTGAAAGCATTCTTACTTTACAGCATTTTTCCAGACCTAAAACGTTTTTTGTTTTGATTATCCCTCCCCCTGCTAACAGGAGATTGACGGCAAAGCACTCCTGTTGCTGCGTAGCGACATGATGATGAAATACATGGGCCTGAAGCTCGGTCCTGCTCTCAAACTCACCTTCCACATTGACAAGCTCAAACGGGCTTGAGAAGGTCCGCTGGCTAGCGGCAGCCTTCCAAAGGACTAAACTCCAACCCCATCTCCCTGTTCTAGGATCAGTATATCATGCACTGCATATTGGACATATACTGACCATTTACATGTAGCAACTTCCATCAGACCACCATATCTGGTATTACATACCCTGTTCTGACCTCATCCAATGAGGAATGTTTATTTTGTGTAGCACAATCCAGCCCTAAGGCAGCATGGGATACGTAGGATCACCCACTTGTCTGTCATCTGTTTTCATTTCAGTATAACTTGAAGAGTCATATGTGGCCATTTTAACTGTAAAAGGCTTTTTTGGCCTGCTTTTATTATGTTACATTTATTCTGTACATTTCATATTTTGTACTTATATATGGACTTGTATTTTTGCCTTTTTCAACGGTTTGTGTGGGATATTCTAAAAGAAAGAAAGCCCTAAAGGAATAAAAGAAAACGCTACATTCATCCCAATATTTTGGAAGGCTTCTGATTAATGTCTCTGTTTGAGGCACGATTTTGCAACTACAATATTAATTATGGGAAGAAAAACGTGTTTTATGAAAAGAAATTTATTCTGAAAAATACTGCCATGAGGAAATCTGTCTTTTCTCTTATTCTGGATGTTGTTTACAATGCCTTGTCCTGTATTTGTTATTTGTACTTTTTTAATTTTTTATACTATATTATTAGAATTCCTACATGGAGAGCCCTATCATGCTTAACATTGTTCAATAAATATATAATAATTCAACTGTTAATTTTTTCTGTGCTGTTTGCGATCTCAACCTTTTACAATTTGTAATTACATCTTATTTGCTCCTGTGTTTATACTCTGTTGCTCCATAAATTGATTTGTTAACTTATTTGAATTAGGGCAGTATTTAGTCCCCTTTTAATTTGTCTTATCTTATCATAAAGACACATTACATGCACACCCACAAATGTAGGTTTGGCGAGTCTGACATTTAGAGGCTGCAAAAGTTATTTTTAAAGTATAATGAGTTGGCATTGGCAAGTTAGTTTAATAGCGTGCTTGCATATTGATTAACATTGTTATTAATTAATTTGTATTTTATGAATACATTTAGTGCCACTTCCTGGTTTCTTTTTTTTTTTATCTACAGTAGTTCACCAACAGAGGGCAATGCAGCCCTGTCCACCTTTTTGCAGTCATTATCTTCTTCATTGTCTCCTTGGGACTTGCTGACATGTGCTGCCATGGGTGGCCACTGCTCCATCTGGTAAACTCAGCATGATAATCTAAGTGATATTTTTATACCACCTAAAGATGACTTCATGTGATTATTATTGTCAGTATTTCTCCTGTATTGCTGTGTAGGTATTTCATTTGTTCCCAATATTTAAAGACCCTCTCTTTAATGATTATGTGGACCTATTGTTCATGCTGTTTCTGGTAAATATTGCTGTCATTTTTTCTGTCAGTACATGAGTGGGCCATTAGGCTTGTGGGCAAAAAAATTATCTACTGAAGCAACTCAGCACAAGACAGTAACCCTAACCACATCCTTCTAGTGAAAACAGGAAAACACATGACGTATGGGTTGAAAACAGTGACCAAACCCACTTATTCTAACTGACACAGATGAGTATGAATGCCTGTCTCTGTGTGTGAGCATATGACACACACACACAATCTGTGCTGTGTTTGTGTGTTATGCTCAGGCACATGTGACAAGCACAGAGCTTGTGGCTGATGTCTCTGCTTGTTGATGTGTAATAGTAGCCAAAGTGTTGTGCATGAAGCCAGTGCTATTTATAGTAAGCAACAGCTTCTTGTGCTGCATATTGTGTTTGTGAAGGTTGTGAAGTGAGTTTTTACTTTAGCTCCTAACACTACAGTGGGATTTTTAGGTGCCATTCTTATTTTGCTACTAGAGCAGCAGGCAGGGCTCTTTTAAGTATAGAGGTGAATATTCAACATCACTGGCTAGGTCCTTAGAAAATTTGCATGCAAGATAACTTTTCTTTATTGTTATGACATATATGTTAGATATTTTGGGGAAATTCTGCCGCTGATATTTACCAACAATGCTCTGCAGTGCTCCTGAGTCATACACTGTCTTTGCCCCAACAGTTGTACACCATATAGAGCAGCGAAACAGTTTCAGTATGTATGAAAGGAAGTTTTGCGGGCTTGCAGATTAGTCATAACAGTGAGAAAAAAAACGACTTTCTCAGGTCTTTGCTTCAGTTGTCATGTTATGGCATGAAAATACTATATTCTCTGCATAATCAGCCTGGCACCTTACACTCTGCAGACAAGTGTGTGCACAGTTAGAGAGAAACAATGTAAAAATAAAGTGCTCAGTCAACCACCTTCTCTCCAGCTGATACCAGAATTCCCAGCATGCCTTTGGGCTGTCAGTTGAGGTGCTTACAGTTCAGGTGAGGGTCCTGCTGGCCTCAGATCATGGTGGGCCTGCAAAGCCCTGAGGCCTATGTTATAAAAGAATGTACTTGAATTTCTTTGTCAGGTTGATCTTTGGATCATGTTTCCAGATTGTGCAAACTGCATTATGTGTATTGTATAAATACTTCAAGAATTCTGAGTACACAGGTCCACACTTCAGTTACTGCAGATATAAACTAATATTTATTTTGCAATGCAGTGAGCACCACACAACATTCTGCAGTATAGGGCAATTTTGTCTTGTTATTGGCCGGTCAACGAACAAAACTGCTGAGGGTTTATATAACCAAATAATGAAGAATGGAAAAGAAAATATTATCACACATCAGAGGAACCGTAACATCTCAGAGACATACCCAATGCTAAATCAAATTTGATTTCATCACCTTTAATAAATGAGGCTGCAGACCTGCTTCACATACTTATCTCCTGTGACTTTTGATTGGGAGATAATATCAGAACTCTGTCTTGATAGCCCCTCACCCCAACACACTCACCCTGTGCCTACAGATGATGTGGACAGGCTAATGTCAGTGTTTTCCTGCAAGGAAAATGTTGGTCACACGGCAGTGTGGGTATTATCTATCCAGGGATCACACATAAACGCACAAAAAAATCCCACAAACCCTGAAAAGCCGAGGTATGACAAATGAAATTCCATGTTCACATTACTTTCCTTGGCATTAACACATTGATATTACAGTTAATTGAGATTTCACCAGCATGATAACACTTGAAAAGCCCCACAAGAACTGCTCTCTTGTATTAATTCCACCCCCAGCCTATAGCCTGTTACTCTGTCTTTGGTAGCATGTGCTTGTCACTGTCACCAGATTAGCACGCAGGCTTAAAGCCCTGCTCACAAAGACACTGTGTACAGAACATGGCTTGCGCTAATACTGTTTCCCTCAATTCTAACCCACAAACATGTAACTCTCCTGGGCTAGGCCAAATAATATCCTTGCTCACATTAAATTACAGGAGGTGAACACAATATTAACTTCCTGCAACAAATGACTACCTTTGTGAACCTTATAATGTTCATTTTTGTTGAGACTGTCAGATTCACATCTATTTTATATTGTACAGTAAAGCATAAAAAGGAACACTAGTCGATTTAACACCTTGCTAAAATGTTGATGCTGTGATCAACATTTTAACCTTCAAAAGGGTCATATTTACACTGATTTTGTGTTGAGTTGTATTGAATTTTTCAAATGTTGTGAAATGTTTCTTTGGTATATGTTTAGCACATTTCACACAAACTGCAAAACAATTAAGTTGATTTAAATTTATTTCTATGGCTGAATAGGTTTGAATTACACAATAAAACCCTTTCCATCTGGTAATCTGACAATTAAAAGACTAACAAATAAATAATATACTCAACATAATTTTGACAAGGGATGTTTCTAGTTCAGCTCTACTGGACATGCGCAGACACCAAAGTAAATGTTCTGCCACTGTTGCGAAACAGCAGCTCTGCTCAGTTTGGCTCAACTGTGTAAATCACACAACCCTTAAATATTTACCACCTTTAGACATTGTTGGGACATTTCGATGTGTTTGAGTCGGCTCGACTGAGAAGTGTCAGCTGTGTGAAGGAAAATAAATTATTTACACCTCCTCCTCCTACTTCAAAGAGCTTGGCAAACCATTCAACCCCAGATTTGAAGAGGGGGAGGGGTCGACAGAGGAGTTGCTAGTCACATTTAACACAAAACATGCCAAAAACCTCAAAACTCTCTTGTTAAAGCAGGCTAGTTCAAACATGTCCCTTGTTAATAAATAACTCATCCTCTCATCTGGGAAAGTCACATTTTCTTCCCACTTTGTGTATTTCACTCTTTGAGTTACAGTAATTGCACAGGGGGTTTCTTGACATGACATGACTTTTTTTTTTTATTTCAAAATTAGCACTCCGATGAAGGTAATGCTCATTTTAATCATACTGTTTCGAAATGAGTACATCTTTATTTAATACAATTTTCTGGATATTCTTTCACTTATGGGATTTTCTCATTTACACCAACAACTGATCCAACTTAATCTACCAACATACTGTAGATGGAAGGATCCCAATGACCAAAGATGGCTGCACACTGATATTGAGGTAACCCTGTTAGCCTGTTTGATCAGGTTGTGTGCTGATGCTGTGTGTGTGTGCATGTGAAGACCTGACCATGCGTGACAACAGCAAATGACCACCTATCCATCATTGGCAGTAGGACCTGAGATTACCATGAGCTCAGGCTTGGCACCAGCTGGACCAAAGCCAGGAAAGAGAAAAACCAAGCAGTACTCACATAGACATACACAGATCATATATAGATACTGGGTCAGAAGGGAGGAATGTAATCTCGATTCCATTTAGCATTTCTCACGTGATGTTTAGCGAAGGGTTTTCAATGGAATTATAAAAGTGTTGTGGGAAAACCCAGCTAAGAAATCCCCGAGAACTAGAAAAAAAAATCCCTCCATCTCATTTCTAATTGTAAAGTGGAGAGATCCTTACATTTTCTCTCTCCCCTCCTTGTGTCTTGTCTCTTTCACTTTGCCTGTCTTCCTCTCTATCAGAATGTGGCTTTTGGTCTCTGACTTATATTGAGAAAACAGCAAGCTGCCACAGGAAGAAGACACAGTGTTGTATTGAGCAGTTGATGTGGGTGGGCTGAAAACGAGAGTAAGAAAAACAGAAGTAACTGTAAACGTCTCCAAGAGTCCCACCCTGCTTAGCATGAGTCTAGACTGGCCTCTGTGAGGCAGGCGGCAGTCATAACAAGGGATTCAGGAGAGCAAACAGGACTGTTTGGCGTAGTTAGCCATTTGTCTATGTAGTCACAATCAAGAAACCAAACCTCTGCATTTGATTGGGGCTAAACAAAGAGCTCGCAGTGCAGCATACAATTATAAGATATATGAGGAGACACAGTTCTGACAGTGTGCCATCATGACCCATGTGCCACACACCAGAAGACCAGCTCACCCTCATTGGCAATGAACAAGGGACCTGCAACCGTTACTGAGCACTGTGCCAAGGCTGTTGGCCTACTTATGAGCCATTCTCTTGACAGTGTCAAGCCAAGAAAATACACACAAACACACACACCCTTAAGCAAGTCTTTGTTACTTGAAACAAGCCTGCATTCAGGGAAAGATATTTCAGTTTGGATCATCCATGATACCACCTTTCAAACTGAACACATCAGCCTTTTAACACAACGGGACAAATGAAAATAGATGACATAACAGAGCGTCAACTTAAAAATTGAGCAATAAGCAAACACTATTCCTGGTTGTGAACAACAGTGCTCTCATTTTCCCCTC